CTCCACACCCTATGAACATGGACATAGTCGAAAAATACTATGCATGAAAAAAGACCCGCTAGGTTGATTGGCCTAGACAAAAATAATGGCATCCCGGCGAACCAAAAGAGTTCAGGAAAAAATTAGGGATATATAAATAAAACTGTACACCCGATAATTCGAAAACCTGAAAAGGCGGCTTCGGAAAAAAAAGGTATCCCGGTGGACTGAAAATCTGAAAGGATAGTCCAGGCAAAAGTTAGGGATTAAAGCGTATGACTATGTCCCGTCATCTTGTCACTTGTCTATCATTAGAAGACTTATCGCCCTGATCAATATTCACCAAGGGCTTTAGAAGTTGATGATGTCCAAGCCGTCCATAAATTCCCACAAAGCCGCTTCAAGAGATTATCCCTACAAAGGAATCTTCACAAAGTCACACATTCCCCGCAATTTTCCTAGTAGATTGCTCTGGCAAGCAAAGGAGAGTAGTCTTGTTCCCAGTAATATTGTCCATCTACGGGATCCCAATCATTACAGTTTATGGGAATTCTTCTCACTAGCTAAGTTTTCAAAACTGTAAAAGCCTCTGCAGACTACTTCTCTCCATCAAAGCTCATTCTCCTCAGCAAAGAGTTCCCCTCAGCGGGATATTCCTCCATCAACAGGGTTTACTTCCCAGCGGAGTCCAGACTTCCATCAACAGGGTTTATTTCCCCAATGAAGTCCAATCTCCCTAGTTTGAGTCTTTTCCTCAGATGGCCATGAGTCACCGACAAAACTCCCTTCCCCAGTGAAGTCATTACTATACCAGAGAGTTGCTACTGAATCTAAAATTGGATCAAATTTCAGTCAACCTTATCCTTCTCAGATGAGCCAGAAAGTTATCCATCGATGTTATCCCTAATCAGGGTATACAAGGACTCATAACTTCCCACTAGAGTAAAAAACAACCAACATTTTAACCTCTTCTTCCCCAAGCAGAAGTAAACACTCCCCAGCAAAAATCCCTCAGAAAAGAAATCAATGACCCCCAATCGAGTTTTTTCAAATAGCAAGTAGGAATCCCCAACAGAAACAATTCCCAGAAGATTACGCATACTCTTCCCAAGCTACAGTCAGGGATTTATTTTCCCCAATCGAAGATGCCGCTGAAGTTTACAAATGCATTTCATTAACATTATATATTCATAGATTAGTTACCAAATGTCATAGCATATGCATACCAAACGCATATGGCGCAATCTCATTTATTTTGAGAACATTATCACGCAATGCATTTCATACGTCATGACATTGCATCCGGCTAACTCTTTACCTTTTCAGGAAAAGAACAATCAACAAGACCAACATCATCAACTACTGATAGGAACAGATAGTCTTATCAAAGAAAACGTCTTCTGGCTTAGAATATATCAACCAAAGGTTTTATTCTGATACTTCTTCCAGTTAACATTCTTCTGGATCAACTTAGATCGAGTGTAGATCTATTTTAATAATTCTTCCAGTTGAAGACATTTTCTGGCTCAGATTAAATCAAACAAGGATTTAATCTAATACTTCTTCCAGATAAAAAATAAGCATACATAGTCGCTGGCTCAGATTAAATCGACCATTGATTTATTCTTATACTTCTTCTAGTAGACCTTTTTTCTGGCTCAGATTAAATCAGCCAATGATTTATTGTGATACTTCCTCCAGCTAAAAGATAACAGAGACCTCTTCTGGCTCAGATTAAATCGACCAATGATTTATTCTGATGCTTTTTCCAATTGAAGACGGCCGTACATAGTCACTGGCTCAGATTAAATCGACCATTGATTTATTCTGATACTTCTTCCAGTAGACCTTTTTTTGGCTCAGATTAAATCGAACAATGATTTATTCTTATAATTCCTCCAGTTAAAAGACCACAGAGACCTCTTCTGGCTCAGATTAAATCGACCAATGATTTATTCTGATACTTCTGCCAGTAGACCTTTTTTCTGGCACAGATTAAATCGACCAATGATTTATTCTGATACTTCCTCTAGTTAAAAGACAACAGAGACCTCTTCTGGCACAAATTAAATTGACTAATGATTAATTCTGATACTTCTTCTAGTTTAAGACAATCGTACATAGCCGCTGGCTCAGATTAAATCGACCATTGATTTATTCTGATACTTCTTCCAGTAGACCTTTTTTTTTCTCGGATTAAATCGACCAATGATTTATTCTGATACTTCCTCCAGTTAAAAGACAACCGAGACCTCTTCTGGCTCATATTAAATCGACCAATGATTTATTATGATACTTCTTCCAGTTGAAGACGGTCGTACATAGTCACTGGCTCATATTAAATCGACCAATGATTTATTTTGATACTTCTTCCAGTTGAAGACGGTTGTACATAGTCGCTGGCTCAGATTAAATTGACCATTGATATATTCTGATACTTCTTCTAGTAGACCTCTTTTTTAGCTCAGATTAAATCGACCAATGATTTATTCTGATAATTCCTTCAGTTAAAAGACAACAGAGACCTTTCCTGGCTTAGATTAAATCGACCAATGACTTATTCTGATGTTTCTTCCAGTTGAAGACGGTCGTACAAAGTCATTGGCTCAGATTAAATCGACCATTGATTTATTTTGATACTTCTTCCAGTAGACCTTTTTTCTGGCTCAGATTAAATCGACAAATGATTTATTCTGATACTTCCTCCAGTTAAAAGACAACAGAGACCTCTTTTGGATCAGATTAAATCGACCAATGATTTATTCTGAAACTTCTTCCAGTTGAAGTCAGACATAAATATATTTTGGCTCAGGGTAAATCGACCAATGATTTATTCTGATACTTCTTCCAATAGATCATCTTCTGGATCAGGGTAAATCGACCAATGGTTTATTCTGATGCTTCTTCCAGTCGTAGACATTTTCTTGCTCAGATAAATCAACCAAAGATTTATTCTGATACTCCATCCAGATAAAAATAAGCATAAATATTTCCTGGCTCAGATAAAATAAACCAATGATTTATTCTAATACTTCTTCCAGTTTGAAGTTAATATTTACTTTGGATGGCATCTATAAGCCCATCTCCACCGAATATCAATCATATCTCCGAACGGCATCTTCTAAGCCCATTCAAGCATACTATCAGCTGACAATGTTACTCTGTGTACTGGCGAGGGGGAAAATTTCTGGGCACTTTAGTGTTCAATCATCGTCCACCTTCAGATCACGAAAGGCAGACAAGCCAATCTAAAATCCTCAGGTATAAGACAATTGAACAGGGGCAGTTGTTGTACCCCAAAATTTGTGCTCTCTATCTTATTCAAAACATACTCCTAGAGGTCCCTAAGTGCTCAAGATTGACCAACAATTGACCAGACAAATTCTCCTCCTAAGAAATAGACATCCAACTAGGATTTCACTTTTCACAAGGAAGATTGGGTTTCAAAGGCCTCAAGTTATTTCCATGGTTCCTAATTGTTGTAACTAGTTTTTTAATCAGACTCGCCACCCTTAATTTTTATCCTAAAGGAAGGGAGTATAAAGGAATAACCCTAAAAGTTTCAGAGATTCTAGGTTTGACTGGGTTCTGGACGAGGGAAAGGTGTTAGGCACCCCTTATCTACCTTGTTCTCAAGGATACTAGGTTTAGAAGCGCGTTTTTAGGCAATCGGGTTTTTAATTATTTTATTAGGGGAAAGGTTTGAGTTTTATTTAGGGGGACTCGCCATGATTTTAATCGTATGCCTACACATCCTCCTAGGATGAATCAGAGTCCCATTTTTGTAGTTCGCGGTTGGTTTGTATTTTTTACGGATTACATAGATATTTTAATTTTCCCCGCACTTAGATCGAATGTGTAGATTGAGGAGATTTTGAACTAAGCGCGAAGTTAATTAAAAACTCTTTGTATTCCTTTTTGAAAAGATTGGTTGTTTATTACAAAAATAGTTTGACGTTTGTTTATGTATTTTTTAGGCGTATATAATCAAAGAGTCTGATATAACTCTCTTATCACGTGGCCAGATATTGGCCACATATCGCTTACAATTATTATAACTTAATAAAAATACGGGTTCTAATATTCGAGTATAAAACATTAACCTAAACTATGCCGTAAAAATTGTTCTTAAGTGTGAGGTTTTAACATCAACAAATCAATATTTTTACTAAGTCTAAAAATCAATAATTAATTATGATAATAAGTAAATAATATATATATATATATATATATATATATATATATATATATATATATATATATATATATATATATATATATATATATATATATATATATATGAAATTATAATTATTAAAATATAAATAAGTAAATACAAAGATATAATTAAATAAGTAAATATAAGAATAAGTCTATAAAAGAAATAAAATATATAAATAATTGGAGAGGGGGTGTAGTTTCAGTTGTGTAGTAAAATATGGGGGCGCCAAAAGAATACTGGGCTAAGCCCAAAACTTTTCTGGATAAGGGGGGTGTGAATCATTCCGCGGTTTAGTAATTCCAGAATGGGGGTGTTAAAAGCGCTGGGCCTAGGCCCATTATGCGAATTGGAGAAGGCTGGTTGGGTTGGGTGTTGCAAGGGAGCAGGGGAGCATGGTAAGGACTTCGCCTATGGCCGTTCAATTATGATCGCATGGTACAGAATGAGGGATCATGTTAATTATCATGGATGCATCGTACGTGATTAGGACGGACAAAACCTTTGTTTGAATTCATTTCTCATTATTTTGTTTTAGTTACAACAAGCTATTTCTCTCTCTCACGCCCCTAACCCTTCTTCTTAACCTTTCTCCTTCTCTCTCACCCCCTGTAACCCTAATCCTCCCACGGCCGAAGCCTCTCGCCTCTCTCCCTCTTCATCACCCTAAAACACAATGAAACTCCTCCAAGATCCGGATATACGCACAATCAATTCACACAAAACAAGAAAGAGATAAAAAAATCTACGTAATTTGCAAACTTACTGCGGTTCTTCGTACTATTTCCAATTTGGGATTCCTATGATCCTTTCTCTCTTGTTTGGACAGGTACCAAGGGATGGGAGTTGGAGCATAGGTGATTCGAACAACAGATTGCAGATAGGGAAATTAGGGTTTTAGATTATGAAACTCTAATTTCTTTTTCTGCGAAATCAACTCTCCTTTGCAGCAACTTTCTTCTTCTTGGTAAGAAAATTTTTACTCTTTAACTTTTTTTCCCCTTTAAATCTGTCAATTTTGCTTCAATTTATAGCGTTTCCACAAATTAGGTTTTTTGGAAAGCCTTTACTCTGTCTGCAATCATATGCTACCAATTTGAATTGTTTCCTTTTTGCTTTTGATTTTCTCTTGATTACAATTAAAGGAGTTTCAGGCATTTATTGATTTTAAATCTTTTTTCAAAATGTTTCAACAAATGCCCTGATTATGTTTCTGCACTTGCCATTTTTGTTTGCTGAGCATTGATTCAGATGTTAATGTCCCTTGATTTTTTAATATTTTTCTATTATAACATAATTGTTAAGTTTCTGTTTTGGGTCAACACTTAACTATCTTGGTTTAATTCCTTTCTTCTAATTCTGATATGCAAGGGATGTCCATTTTAATGAATCGTGCACTGATTTATTTATCGCGAATGGTTTTTTAATGGTTTATAATTAACCGGTCCACTGCACTTGTTTTCTTAATACAGGGTGCTAATTCAATTTATCAGTACAAGGAAAAGCTTGGAGAGTTTCAACCTGAATCATGGTATGAAACCTAACACTTCCTAATCATTCACAACTTGTTGGGTTTGTGGGCTGAAAATAATTCTTGCCCTTGTACTGATGCAGGTCAAGAATTAGTGTGTTTTCAGAGTTTCAGAAATTCTAGGATCAAGGAGAAGAAGGATGAGGCTGAGTTAAGTTTTATTTTGATTGTTCTTTTGCCATTCTTTGTAATTAGAATTGTGATTTTAGTTGGGTAATTTTATGACAGGTTTGCATATGTATATTGGATGCATAAGCCTTTGCAAGCACGAGGTGTTAACTGAATAAGTTGCTCGTGAATTACCCCAGTTAATTATCTATTTGACTTGATTCTGCTTTGCCTGATATTGATGCAGGGCCTTTCTGGCAGGTGTGATAACATGACCAGAAGTCTGTCACGGGGAAGGCTTCAAATTTTAAAGGAGAAAAAGCATAAAGATAGATCAAAGATTGGAAGTCTGGCCCTGGGGAGGTTGAAGTTGTCTTGTCACTATTAGGAAAAAGAGATATCCTACTGATTAGGTTTTAGGATAAGTAGTTTTATGTAAATCTCTCATCTTGTAAACCCCTGTATATATGGCATTGTAATTCAATACTGGTTTTGAATTTGAAACATTCCCTCTTCTTATTTTTACTGTAAGTGAACAAGAAAGTAGTCACACCTTGTATTAATTCAAGAGTAAAAATATTCAAAAATTCTCTTTTACATTAGAAAACTCCCCATTCTGCCTTTGGATAATCATATATGGATAGCCTTTATGCTGGACTTAGATAGGTTTGAATGAATTTAATAAATGGCGAGACTGCTAGAAGTTTGTGCTCATACTTGGAAAAATGTTACTTTGAGAAAAATCTCATGTCTTTGATGGAATAATATTTGATCACCTCATTGTGATCGGTGGATCTGGAACTGACTGTTTAACGCTGGTTCGCGAAATGTCGCGGAAGCAAGAGTCGCCACCGACTTCTATTTTCTCCAATATGGAAAGGACAAAAGCACAGAAAAATTCCTTATTGAGATTAGCTCTCGGTTCGGGAGGTAGATTTATAGAAAGGGAAGGTGTTAGCACCCTTTCTATCCATGGTTATCCATGGGCTCTTAGATACTTGCTCATTTGTGTTTTCAAAATGTTTGTTTGCTTTTCAAAGTGAGTGGGTTTGAAAAAGTTTCGTTTAAAGTTTCAGATCGACTCTTGTATCAGTCCTCAAGAGTGTTTGAAAAGTTGTTTTTGAAAGCTTTTTGCAAAGTGTCGGTGTGAAAAGAAGTTTTTGATTCATTTTGAATTAGAGCAAGTATCTACGAGTCATCTACCTACCCTAAGGAATTAGTCTGTGTAAGTGTCCTTGAGATAGTGCCATCCCACTATTGAGAGGTAGGTAGCACCACCGTTGGAGGTGTTCGGGTCAATTCGAGTTTAGGGACAGTGTGGTCACCAGAGCAATAGTAGGACACCTTAGAAGCTACCCCCATGCCATGTTCATGGACATGAGGACTTACTAAAATTTCCTATACTCGACGACCACGTTTCGAGGGGCAAGGCAACAGTGAGACGTACCCTAGGAGTGGTGTGTGAATTGTGTGTCATTTTCAGTTTATTTTTGTCTTGTCATGCATTTGGTGATCTACGCTTTGATTTTATTTGGGCATTCATTCTTTCATGTGATTAGCAGTTTAAAGGTGCGGAATTTAAAGTGCGGAAAGTAAAAGTCCTACGCTATAACAAGGCGCGGGTCTATACATCGCCAAATTAAACAAAGACCCGATTTGAATAAATAAAATGCGGAAAATAAATGTCCTAATTATCTATTACAAGGCTTTGGGGCAATTACATAAGATTAAAAAAAGAAAAATAAAAGCAAACGCGCGAAAAGGAATTAGAAATCGAAGGTGCGAGGGCGTTAGACCCTTTAAAGAAATTAAATTAAAATTAAAGGTTAATTAATGATTTAATGGGAAAAGGAAGTTATTTTTTATGTTTTTTGGTATTTTATGGAAATAAAGAAAATTAATTAAAGTTTGAAATTAAATAAAACCCTAATTCTAAATTGTTTTTAATTATTAAAGAAAAATGTTTAAGTTTAACCTAATTTACACTAATTATTTAATTACAAATTTATTTACATAAATAATTAATTATTAATAATAATGATGATAAGGAAATAAATTATTTATTAAGAAAGAAGAATAACAATGCTAAAACCTAATTTTATGTTTTTTTAGTTTATTTAAGAAAAAAAATGTTAAAGTTAAAAAAGCCTAAATTAACCTAAATGGATTATTGAATTTATTTACAAAACTATTTATGAATAAAAAAATTAAATGAACATATTTTATTTTTTGACTTTTCTGATTTTTTTATGTTTTTTTGTATTATGAGAATTAATTAAAATAATCAAAATAAATTAAAATAAATAGAAGAGAATAAAAAAAAGAGGGAAAGAAAAGACAAACAGGGGGGGGGGGGTTTCTGGCCCAATTATGGAGGTTAATTTGCAGCAATTAGGCCCATTGAAATGCAAGGCCCTTTTGACTTTTAGTGATCATGTGAGGAGCGTTTGACTGATGCGTATGTGGAACTGCACGTCCTGGTCATTGGATGGAGCCTCTGGGCGCGTGGCAAGCCAGATGGTGAGGACACATGATGGTCCTTGGAGAGAGGCGCTACGCTGGAACATGTAAATGAATAAAATATGAAATGTATAAGAGGACTTGGGAATCGAACCCAGGTCCCAATACCTGCCTGCCAACGTGTTTACCAACCGTGCCATTGAGTCACTTTGATATCATAATGGACAATGAATAAGATATGTGAGAAAGTGCTGGTGGCTTGAAAAAACGCGCTAAATTCAAACAGTCCAATCTGGCTGAGACACGTCTACCTTCTTCTTTGTTTTACCTGAAAACATAAGATAGATAGCGGGGGTTTTAAACCCCCACTAACCCTAAACCTGAAAAATAGCGAATAGCATATAATCAAAAAGAAAAAGGGCGCGATGGTTGGTTTCTACTTGTTTGAAGGTCCTGATTTCATTGGTATAGGTCTTATGGTCCAATTATTCCAGATATGCAAAGCCCCAAAATTAGAGCTCTGAAACCCTAAGCAATGTCCATGGTGAATTCGTTTTCAGACAGCTATTCTTCAATTGACTAATACCATTAGCTTCATAAGGTCATGGTTAGTATAAATCAATAATTTAAATGCATGAAAAATGTCCAAAAATTAAAACACGATTGTGCATAATTTTGAAAGGGAAGCAACTCTGTTCTACCAATTCTTTACGCGTGGAGAGTGGAAAAGGATTGAGACACGTCCAAGAAAGTCCCAACAATCCTTTGGAATCGATTGTAGGCTTTGAAACGCACTCTAGCTTTGAAAACAGTTTTCAATTTTTTTGGAAAAAATGCAAAGTTGTTTTTGAGTTTGGGCGCAACTTGCTTGTTTTTTAGCCTTAGGGTTCTGTTTGCATATGTATGAGGAATTATTCTAGGTAAAAAACAAAGCCCATGATCCATGTTTTAATGCCTTTCGATATTTGATTTTCAAGCATCTTTTTTTCAATATTTTCCATACCAATCTTATGCCAATCATTGAAGATTCTTTCCCTTTTGAGTGTGCACGAAATCTTGAGCTCATAAAGAGTGAATATGCTGTATAAAAAGATTTGGAAAACATGATTTGCTATTTTTGTCATATTTTATTTTAATTAAATGAATTAATAATAATAATAATTCAAATAATTAATCAAAAATGATAAAATAACTCCCTTGGATGTCAATGGGTCGTGCATGGCCTTTGGGTGATGATTCATGGAAGAAATTGAGGCCCATTAGCAATTTTGAGGCATTTGAAGCAAAGTTGACTTTTCAAAATTCCCAAAAATTTCCCAACTTCCACAAGGCATATCTTGCTCAATTTTTAAGCTTTGATCATGTTCTTGGACATTTTGGAAAGGTCCTGAAGTCCTCTAACTAATGCCTTTGGTACCATGTCATTTTTATTTACCAATCTCAAGTTATGGTCTTTGGCTTAAAGTGCCTTTTTGTTGACTTTTGAAAATGACCTATAATGTTGAGATTGATAACTTTTGTGAGAGCATTTCTTGGACTTGAAGTGTGAAGATGAGTTGTAGGAAATGTCATTCTCTTCAAAATGAGCTTTGGATGGAATTTTTCTGATAAACCATGTGGAAGTTATGCTTTGGTCAATTTGCAGTTGACTTTTCCAACTGTCCAAAAATAGAAACTTTTGCATCTTGAGACTTTTTGAGCCATGCTTTGAGAATCATGATCAAGAATTGATCAAATGATGTTTGTGGCTTCAAAATAAGATGTTGACCAAAATTTTTGACTTTTGACTGTCAAATGACCATTTTGCCCCTGCAGTTGACTGTTGAGCAATTAGGGTTTTTGACTGTACAATTTTGTGCTGTGAGTCTTGAAACTTGGCATAAGGATGCTTGACAATGTTTATAGGCATGTGGGACTTGTTTGGACCCTTGGAAACTTCAACTTCTTTGCCATAACCAAAACCCTAATTTTTGACTGTTAGGAGGCCATTGAACTGTGCAACCCTTGAGAGATTTTGAACCTTGATCTTGGAAAATCTTGAAGAAAATGGGAGGGCAAATTTTGGGGTACAACAGTTGCCCCTGTTCAATCTTCTTAAACCTGAGGATGTAGATTGGCTGACGTGCCTTTCGTGATCCGAAGGTGGAAGATGATTGAACACTAGAGTGCCCAGAAATTTGCGCTCACATGTTAGCAGTGTGATGGTGGGAATGGGCTTACAGATGCCATTTGGAGATTGATGGATAGGAAGATGGGCTTACGGATGCCATGTTGAGAGGTGATGGATAGGTGTATGGGCTTATAGATGCCATCTGGGTGTCGATCGCGTAAGGGTTTCCTTAGCGAGAACTTGCGTACCTGAAAAAGAAAATGATTACCTGGCCTGTTACAGGAGTTGGTCTTCAAACTCTTTGTATGGACGCACCCTGGTTGGTTACAAGAATCGAATCTTCAACCTCTTCAGACGTGCCCTAGCGAGATACAGGAATCGAGTCTGGAGCTTCAAAAGGTGATGAATGAATCAGGGATGGTTACTACCTCAACGGGATGCTGAGAGAACCTTGGACGATTACTATCTCAACAGCAACAATGAGAGAACCTGGGGAGATTACTACCTCATCAGTAACGATGAGAGAATCTGGGGCAATTACTATCTCAACAGTAACGATGAGAGAATCTTGGATGTCTTCTACTGAGTCTTCTTTAGGAAAATCTTTAGGAATCAATTTAACTGGACCAGAAAAGGCCTTTGACTGGATCGGCATCAGAAAAATCTTTAGGAGTCGATTTAACTGAACCAGGCAAGGTCCTGGAATCTTCAACTGGAATAAGAATCAGGGAGATCTTAGGGTCGATTTGACTGAACCAGAGAAGGCCTTTGACTGGATCGGCATCAGAAAAATCTTTAGGAGTCGATTTAACTGAACC